CGTACAGAACAGTGCCCTGCATTACATTTTTTTTTTGTTAATGCATTTCACCATGTTGTTTTTGTACTTTGCAGTACATGTACTATAATATGTTATTCTGCCCATGAAGCTACTTCAGCATCACATACATGAGCACTTCATTCTAATTCACACATGACTAAGACAGGCCTTTTGGTGCACATTAGAGGGCTTTTCTTTTTTTCTTATCATGTTTGCTCGTCACCTGAAAAGGTACTTTTGCAGTACTTCTTTTTTTTTTCCAAAGGGGGCATTGTGAAAAAAAAGGCAAATCAAATGTTTTTTTTGTAACTCTGCCACCACTACTCATAGCGAGGCAACCTTTATGTTGGAGGGGAAAAAAGGAAATTTCCTTTACGGCTAGAGACCGAGTCACGGGTTCAAGCTGAAGTCGGCGCTGCAAGAAATTGTCACCGCGACAATGTGAGCCGACTGACAATTCGTCAAATTGAGATTCAAGTCTTGCAACGCGGCGACGCCATTGATCCAGAGGTCGCAATTTCCTGCAGCCTTCCTCCGTTGATGTCTCCATACCTGAGAGTCCCGAGGATGAAGGCAGGTCTCCTTTGATGTGGACGAGAAGCTGCAGTAGGCCAGCAGAGCGTCGGCCGGGCTGCCCTGGTTGGGGTCGATGTAATACATTCCTGCGGAGAAAAAGGTTGGCGAGAGCTCAATGAGAACGGCGGGGATCAAAGTATTGTGATCCGCATGGACAGTAAGACCGGTGCAATACAAGAAACACAACATGTCCGACACACTGGAGCGGGATAAAGAAATGTTAAACAAGCGTAAAAATGTATAAAATGTAGAAAAATATTCTTTTTCTGGGTTGGACATGGGCCCCAACTTGAACAAATGTGGATTTCTTGATATTTAATCAGAATCCGCTGTAATAATTAGACATGGATGGGAATAACATGAAAAAAATCTGATAATAATAATAATAATAATACATTTTATTTAATAAGGCGCCTTTCAATGTTGTTATATTAGTTTTTTCATGCACGTTGTAGAGCAACCTGGTCACATAACCAGCAATAACCTTCACCCGGGTGACCAGGTACCACACTAGGCCATGTTTCACTTCTATTCTACCAAAGCCAATGAGAAGCCTTTTCAGGAGACTTCCATGATGCTCCAGCTGTATTGAATCTTCTTCTTTGCAGCCCATAAATCCCCACAATCACAGGAACTGGTGCAGAAACTATCCTGCAAAGCCTCTGTAGCCTCTTAGGCTCACAGCTGGATCATCTCACATTCTCTCCTTTATAATGTATTACACACATATGCCATATAGCGCCTGTAAGATATATAGACAATACTTGAAATTAATTTAAAACGTGAGAAAAATGGATCAAAATGGAAAAAAAAGAAAATATTGTTATGAGAAGTATTTAGATTATATAGACAACACTTTAAATTACATTAAAATGTGATTTAGGTGAGAAAAATGGATCAAAATGGGAAAAAAATTGAAAATATTGTTATAAAAAGTGTTGAGATTATATAGACAATACTTTAAATTACATTAAGATGTGATTTACGAGAGAAAAATGGATCAAAGTGGAAAAAATGGCTAAATATTGTTGTAAAAACTGTTTATCTGTGTGATGTAATGCTGCAAGTCGTGCAGTTTTAGTGGATTTTTGACACGAGCTCTTGGGGACTGTTAGTAAAGTGGCAGTAAAACGTCGGCAGCTCAAGAATTTAAGGCTCCGGTTTTATGTTTACTGAAACTAAAGAGCACAATAAAGCAGCAGCGTTCTCATTCTCAGCGCAGGAGAGGTCAGTGAAGCGCATCAGTCAGGCAAATAAGACGCTAAAAATAAAAAAGCACATCAGCTCGTCGTGGTGTCGTAATAACGTCAGCAACATAAATATACTGAGGACAACTGATGAACACATATTGAGTGGATGTGGTGGAGCTACAGTTTGGTTTATATGGGCAATAAATGTATAAAAAAATGATATAGGTGCCATTGTAGTGAGATAATCAATGTTACTCACTCACCTGCCGGTTTTAATATTGTGGCTCATTGTTGTATGCTTTTTGGTAATCATGCAACAAATGAATTTAAAGAACAAAATGTGTGTCTTTTTCCCCTGAAAGTTGTGATAACAAGAATAGTGAAACAGCTGAAGTGTGAGTTAAAATAAAAATACTGAAATATTTGAAAAAGCAGAAGTAGGACGTCTCAGTTTCAACCGTTAAGTTTCAGGTTTGGACTTATTATGTAAAAACTAAAAAAATATGTCGAGCAAAAATAAAACTAATAAAACAACTAATTCCTGCCACATTCTGCCCCGCTGTGAATTAAATTCAATTAGGTGACGACGTATTACATATATTATAGGCTCTAAATAAAGTTAAACTGTACTGACTAAAGTTAAATTACACTGAATACACAGTTTGTGGGATAATTATGAGCAAAGAAAATCAGTCTCTCTTCATTCTGTGGCATCTTTTTTATGCTTAACGGCGTGCGTGCATTTAAAATAAATAATAAAAATGTAGAAATACAATTAATTCTTGCCATATTCTGCTGCACTGTGAATTTAATGCAGTGCTGGCGTACTAAATATAATATAAGCGCTAAATGGAGCTAAAATCGAGCTACAATATACTGAATGCACAGTTAATTATGTGCAAAGACGATGAGGCTTTAGAGCTTCATTTTCTTTGCAGATATTTAAACTTAAAGAAACTTTTGACCTAATAAAGCAAAAATAAACTAAAAGCCTTTTTATCATCCTGCATGCTCAGCGCTTTCATTAGTATCTTGTGTTATAAAGTTCTCATTGAGGAGGATGCACTCATGTGAGAAGGTCAGTGGTTTCCTAGACTCAGTATTCCAGTCGGATTGTTTGATGTGGTGCGACTGACCGCTGCTGTACTCGGGGTGACAGAGCCACAGCTCCAGACAGGTGGAGGCCGGATGCTCTTTGCTGCCGTCGGGAGGATCCACCAGCAGCCGGAGCTCGTGTTGCAGAGAATCCAGCAGCGTCTGGATCAGAGGGTAGTTGGGCTTGTCGGACAAATACATCAGGTCCTGGAGATGACAAAATAAACACAGTGGAAAAATGCAGTTTTTGACTCATAAGCTGTGTGTTTTAGTTTCTGTCAATAACTATTTGTACGATCACACACCACATGCTCTTATGATAAAAGCTGCTGTGATTTTAGGTGACTAAACGTTCTAGTTGCACATTCAGTAAAGAAATTCTTCACCTTGAGTTGAGTCAGCGTCATGTTCAGCGGTTTTCCTGGAGGTCCGGGAACGCCAGGCGGACCCTAAAACACAAGATTTATGTTACAAAAGATTTTGAAAATATGCTATCCATCACAAAATGACAAAAGCAAACTGTTTTTGGTTTCTTGAGAAAAACAGGTATTCTAAAGGCTAAAAAGCACAACTTTCACAGTTTTAGTTTGTCTTAAAACTCTTTAAATTCATAGAAAACATGATTCTATTACTTTAAATAAACATCCACATGTAGATTTTCTCAAACTAATAACTAGCAAGATCCTTTTAAAGGGGCCGTATTATCGAGTTTTGGTTGCTTTTGAACATTTTGTGTCCCCAGTATGTCTCACAACATTTGAGTAAGCCCATCAACTTGTTTATTTTTCCCCCTCATAGGTCATGAATCGTATCTCCGTATGAGCCTGTTGTGATGCATCCTCGCTCAGAGCTCCTCAAGATGCATTTTAGGATTTGAGACGTCCTTTGTTACGACGCACCGACATTGATTTCTGGGATGAAAAAAATCAGGCATTGAGGAGGCTGAAATGAGCCAAATGGAGATGAGCCTTATTTTAAACCTCCTTATCTCCTCCTTCCTGCTGCCTGTTACCTGGAAATCCACCTTAAGGAGCCATTTTAAAGGACGCCTGAAGCCTTCAAATGCATCTTGAGGACTGAAGAGTGACGATGCATGAAGACGTAGCCTTTTTGGTGCACTCTTTTGGCTCTTGTGGCACACAAAAGAGGCTGGGATATATAAATCATGTCAGGAACGGGACTGACAAATGTGAGCATAAATCTACACGACTCAGTCGATATAAATGTCTCTTTATTTGTGTTTTGCTCTTTTGTGTGTTACGTTGTTTTAATGCTTCATGAAAAACATTAAAAATGTATTAAATCCAATCATTTTTGTCATGTTTTATAAGGTCGTGAATGGAATTAGAAGTAAACGTGAACCATATTCATCATGAACACGATTCTACTCTTCTGACAGCGATCATAAAATACAACAATAATAATGATAATAATTCATTTTTTTTGTATAGCGCTTTTCAAGAACGCAAAGACGCTTCACAGGGTAAAAGCAAAAAAGCAATAAAAGCATTAAACAACAAGCAACAAATAAAAACAACAGCAACACGTCTTATTTAATTGATGTCGCTTTTAAATTACGGCTCAAAAACGAGGATGTTTCTTGATTTTTCATTGTTTCCCGATGAGGAAGTGAATCAAGGAAACTAAGAAATGGGGAAAAAGGGACTGAACAGACGAGAGATGCAACAATTATCAAATTCGATATCATCTCTTAAACTAATCCCTAACTACTTTGATATGGCTGAATTGATTTGAAGGATCTTTCAAGGAGAAAAACTCTAATTACATCTTCTTAACTCTGTATATTTCCTGGTTTCTTTCCTCGTCTATGATACCTAATTGAATATCTTTGGGCTGTCAACAAAACAACATATTCGAGGACATCGTCTTGCACTCGGGGAAACAGATTTTTTACTGTTTTCTGACGTTTTATAGAAGAAACAACACATTTTTTTGCAGCCCTGCAGCCGTCTTCCTGAAACGGAGCTGCAGACACTGAAACTTTCAGCAGTGTTGTAGGTAGAAATTAATGATTTGTGCAGATTTTTGAGCTGAAATCAGGAAAAACATATTCTGGGGACACATGAGAAGCTTTATTTAGTGTGGGATCTTTAAAATGCTAGAGTTTCTGCAGTTAAACAAGAACTCACATAGCAGAAGAACCCTAAAATTTACCCTGAAAGTTAAGCTTATGTTAGATAAACGTCTGTCAAAACGCTAAAATCATCTTTAATGGAACTTATTTCTTGGTATTTTCCAATTATATGAGTTTATACATTTAGTGTATGGTATCTAGTGTATCTTAAATGCTTTGCTCCATCATCATAAGTTTTTCTAACCAGTCGAGCCTGAATTCAGGATTAGTTAATCCTCTGAGCTGGACTTACCGGGAGCCCCCTCCTGCCTGGCAGTCCAGGCAGACCTGGGTAACCTTTCAAACCCTGCAGGGAGAATGAAACGCGATGAGTACAGTAAAAGCAGACCGCTAACTATCAGGTGCACCGAGGGAAATAAAAAGCAGCTGCTAGATCTCATTAGATGCCGACATCGACTCTGAAACGTGACAGTTTTGTGATTACGTGTTTCATCAAGGGTTTGCTGCTTCACACAGTGTTGAGTGAGAGCTGAAGAGTGCTCGAGTTGATGATATCGTACCTTTAATCCAAACAAACCCTGTAGCAGAGGAGAGAAGAAAAGAGCATTAGCGTGATTTTCCACCACGAAGCACGTTTCTCGACAAAAAGAGCCTCCGAGTGCTTTTATCTGCTGCATTAAGAACCCGTCGCTGCCCATTTTGTAACCCGAGTCGATGCATTATCATTTCTTCTCGAAGACACATCGGGCTGAGCTCAGTCAGAACATGCAGCCGACCGATTCACCACACTGACAGATAACCGTCTCCACTTTGCGGGAATGACGGGAGTTATTATAAAACCATAACATCTCGGGCGCACGTTTCACTTCTGCCTCCATTTTTCAGATGCAATCTGGCAAAAAGCATCTGAGTGACACGTGAACTGCTTTAATCCAGAGTATAAAATATGAGAAAGCGGTAAAAAAAGATGCATTTTACTAAAAAGCATTCATAAAAGCCACACAGAAAAGCAGAATGCAATTTAGAAACACAGTGAAAGATGGGTAAAAAAGTACATACAGTCAAAACAGATAAGCCTCTTGTGCTGTAAAGTGTATTAAAGATTTATGGTCTGTGTTGGAGATGACACTTACAGGAAATCCAGGCATCCCCATCATCCCTCTCCGCCCCGGTGGACCAATGTTTCCCTAAAACAACCCAAAAAATGCATCTGTCAGCGCCATAATACCCATAAAAATATATTAAAATGTGACAAAATAGCAGTTTTAAAGCACAAGAGCTGAGAAAACGTGCTGTAAATATCTAATTGTGTACCTGTTCTCCCTTTATGCCCTCTGGACCTGGAAATCCTACAGCACCACGAATACCCTGAAAAAGAAAAATCACAAAGCAGCGATATTGAATACTGGCATCTGTACTTTTTCTATCTTCTTATTTGTTGTTGCAGACGTTTATGTCCTTTTTAAGCGTTTCAAATCTCGACTCCCACCTTGGTTCCATCCCGTCCAGGTGGTCCAGGCAGCCCCATGTCGCCTTTCTCACCCTAAAAGACATAAAAACTGCAGTTACACATTCATCTTCAACCCATCAGCACAGAAACACAGGCAGGAAATTCAATGAGGCTAAAAGTTCTGCTGCTGCAAACACTAGCCCAGCAAAGGAAAGTATTATAGGAGTCAAAGCACAATTTGATTCCTGCATATATGACACATATATTCCCTTTTTTCATGTTCTTATTTGCTGGTTATGATGTAGTTGTGATCTCATATGTAGATGCTGTAAGTCTGACCTGCAGGGAGCCGTCAAATTAGTCGTCAACCATTTATTCAGTTAATCGGTTTGAGTGATTGACTGATTTCAGCTTCTTTCATTTGAATAATTTTTTTTACTCCTCTTTGACGTAAACTGAATGTTTGGGTTTGTGAACAAAATGAGAGATTTAAAGACATCATTGTAGGAAACACTGCTGGACATTTTCCCCCATTTACTGATAATTTATGAACCAATTAACTAATTAAATAATAGAATATACTGAAGACAATAATCTACAATGACAATACTCATTAGCTGCTGCCCTTCTGGGCCAAAAATGCAGATTTTACCGATTACCTGTACCTGTAATCAGCTTTTCTGTGTGTTTTCTTTGACACCAGTTATAATCTAACAACTATATATTTGATAACTGGGTTTCTGTGATTACCCTGAAGATAAGACAGGCATTTATTAATCCTGCAGCAAAGTGCAAAAATATAGGGAACACCAGTAGAATATTTAAATGAACAAGAAACTATACATGTGTATTGTTAATATTGTGCATTTTCTGTGGAAATTTAAATATTGCACAGAGTACATCTTCTAAAAGTAGATTATTGATAGAACATTGACATAACAAATGCTAAAATTGCACAGATTCTCATGTATGTAGAGAAATTAATATTGTACAGAGTTTATTTACTCATGCAAATTTTTCCTAATGCACTGGTTTGAATGTATTAATGTTGCACCAGAGGGAAATGTGTCATCTTTCTTTGTTCCGTCCACACAAATGTAACGATTATATTGAATGTTTCTGAGGTTTTTAAACACTAATGGTAATCTTGAGAGAGAAAGGGTACATTATGTCTATATTAGAAGCTGATCAGCCTGGGACTCTCATGGAAGTTGTACAAAACAGCATTTTATTTGACTGATTTTCAGATAAACCAGTGTTATTTTCCCCTTAAAAAAACCCAATCTGAACGGAGTCCGATCCTGCTGGGTTTTGTCTTTAATGCAGAGCTTTTACTGAATCGGTTTCAGGTTTATTAATTCTTGTTTACCTCTTTCCCGTTTCCACCTTGATCCCCCAATTCCCCGCGTAAACCAGGGATTCCCTTGGTGACAAACACACGAGAAAGCAAGACATCAATTTACCGACTGATAAAAAAAGCACTGGAGGATCTCTCCGACCCACCGAAGCGTGGAGGAGAGATCTGAAGGAGCAATTCCAGGAGCTAATGAGTGGATGTGATCAGCTGTGACGTCTGGTTGGACGTTACGTGAACGAGTGAATCGACTTACGATGAGGCCGGACCACCCAGGGTGGCCCATCGCTCCCACGACTCCCTTTTCGCCCTGAATGACAAAAAAAACCCAATCTACTGTAGAGTCATGCATCATAATTAAAGCTGGTGTACATGAAGCCGATGGTGGTGTTTCCACATATCCCACCTTTGGTCCTCGGTCTCCCCTGGTCCCTCGGACTCCAGCCTTCCCTCGCTTCCCCTGAGGACACAATGTTTTATAATGAGGTGGAAAAAAAACCCCAACAAGACACACAAAACCAGTTCATGTTTTACGTATGAGGCTGTTCATATGTCAGGATGCCACGTTTGGCCGCTTTCATTTTACGCAAACAAACAAATACATCGACACCAAACTAAGATGTTTCCTCACAAAGCTGTAAGAAGTCACAGAATTAGCAGCTCAAACAGAGATAATGACTCGATATCGTGGATTCCCTGTTACACCTTGACATTATTTCTACCTGCACCAGTTTCCCCACAGTGAAGCCCAGTGGACTTACCCTCCTTCCAGTCTGACCCGTCTTCCCCGGTGGTCCAATCACACCATCGTCTCCCTGCGAGGATGGAACACAAAACGGAAAATCAATGAAAAAGAAAAGTGGACAGAATGCAAAAGACACATGTTCTTCCTAAAACAAGTGATTTTATTGGAACGAGAAGAGTCAGAGACTAGCAGTTCAGCTTCATGTACACTGTACACGGAGGATTTTAACTAAATCGTCATGTTGGAGGGTTCAAACTGGAACCATATGCCATCTTCTGGTAGTAATGTGTAACTGCTTCTGCACAAATAACTGTCACATTTGATGCTGGACATTTTTGAGGTAGTCTGTGTAGGAAAATAGGCTTTATAGTTGCAAGATATCCCTCCAGTGGACCCACCGCCTGCAGGATTGGGCCATACAGGGTCCTGCACATGGTGGATTAGGTGGTAGCTAAAAGGAGGCCTTAGCATTCCAATGGCAAGATGACAAAGCCATTTGAGATGTTCCGGCTTCTGTCTTGGACACTTCAAGATGTTGGAAGGTGTTTTGGGCATAGCCAACCAGGATGTGTTCAGGGATGTGGAGCTGCATTCCAGTTTACATACTTTTTCTAGTTTAAGTACATACTGCTGCTACCCTTACACACCCTTACTGCAGCTTAAACTTTGACCATTGATATTAAATGAGACGTTAACTGTCTGTACATTTGCGACATATGTGACGTAACTGTGCAGAGGATTGTGGGTCAGAGTGGCCTCAAAACTACTACAAAGCTACTACAAAATCCAACCATATGTCGTGGTACACGTGAGTATTTTTTTTGCATATAATTGTTGAACAGTCTATTGGGAGTAGGGATGTTAGACGTAAATGTAATAATTGCCATTCAGAATTTAACCGATTACAAATATATTAACCGATGAGGCAGAAGACAAAAAGAAAAGCAAGTCAGAAACTGTAGTGTACATTAGTTGCAGTAACTGGTTGCGCCACCAGGTGGAGCCTCTTACGTTTTAACACTGTAATGACCTGAGGAGGCGTACACTCGGATTAAAAGCAGTTCCATGTTGGAAAACAAAGAGCTTCGTGGGAGTTTAGCTAGTAATGTGCCACCATGACAAAGTCTCCTGAGATGTTTAAAGCCTACCAACCAGAGCGCTTACGTTGCCAGGTAAAAAAAAAATCCATTAAAGTAGCATCACTGTGACCGCATAGGAAATTATCTGCATCAGGTTGGTGGCTCATAATATGCGATGAACACCGTGAGAGCAGCTTACCTGGTCAGGGTGGATCCACACCTAATATGATGATGTTGAGTAACCGACTATTGATTGCTAACGCCACCAACTATCGGTAAAGGAAACTGTTAAACATTTGCATCTGTAATTGGGACACACTAAATCATTTTCTGCCGTTCTTCATCGTATGGCAGTATGAATATTTGGAGAACATCATACGTCTGTCGGTTGGTTTGGGAACGTCTCAGTATCCCAAAGATGGAGGAGATGGTGGGAGAGATTTAGGTTTGCAACTTGGGTAAGTGGTGGAAAATTGACAGATGGATGGACCAGTTTTATGCTAGATTAGTTCAGAATAAAAGCTGGAAAAAGAGGCTAAAAGTTTCCCACAGTCTTTATGGTGAGCTGAGCTCACCGGCTGTTCACAGAAACAAGTATAATATCAATATTCTCACCTACTCCTCGGCACAAAATTGACTTAGATGTAGATCAAACATATTAAACGATTCCTTAAATTCACATGTTTGAAAGAGTTTTTGAATGTTTATTGCATTTTCCAGCAGAACAACAAACAACTAAATTTGATGAACAGCTTCTGCTTTTTCTCCAGTTATTGTGAATCTAACCCTCATCTTCACCTTCTCTCCTTTCATGCCCTCTTTTCCTTCAGGTCCTGGTTTCCCTTGAGCTCCCTGCAAAGAAAGATTTCTGTCATACTGCAGCCGAGACAGAAACAAAACCAATCAGACATGCTGAGTGCTTTTTATTGTTGCTTTTGTAAATCAATAATTAACCACAAGCAAACATCTGCTACGCAGCATTTTTAAACCAGCTGCTGAAGTCAAAAGTGAAGTTGCATCATCTGTAGTGTTTTTGAGCTGTTCATGGACTTACAGGAGCTCCGGCGGGACCTGGAGAACCCTGGAGTCCAATCTCTCCAGGAGGCCCCTAAAAAGAAAAGTAAGAGGCACAAACAACAAAGTTAGAGTTGCCATGGGAGGAAAACAATGGCACCAAAAGATGAGATTAGATGTGTGATGTGCTTTCGTTTTCACCTCCAACCCTGGCAGAGCTGGAGGTCCTTGGATTCCTGGAAGACCATCCTCACCCTGCACATGTAATCAACACCAAGGAGGAGTTTGATGGATATTTGCACACAGCCACACATTACAAACACATACACAGCACAGGAGATACACATGGAACAAACATCCCACTAACCTGTTCTCCGGGTGGTCCTGGAGTTCCCGGTTCTCCCTTCTCTCCTTGAATCCCAGGTTCTCCTTTAGCTCCCTGGTCTCCCTGAGGTCCAACTTGTCCAACTGGACCCTGTCATTTAGACGTGACGTTACAAAATCAGCCTCACGAGTTTGTCATTTATTTTGCATTTGTTCTTGAAGTCAGATTTTGCTTTTGGCTGAATTTTTGCATTTGTAGAAGGTCAAACAGAACAAAACTACATGAAACACTTGGCAAGTCATCGTCACAGACAAGAGAACAAGCCCAGCAGATGGAACGCAGACATTCTGTTATGTCTTGCAGATTTTTGTGTCAGAAAATGACAAACTCACATACAGTCTACACTCAGCATGTTTGTGTGTATTTGTGCACCAACACACCACAACCACCAACGATATTTAAGTCTTGCATGTGTGAGGATAACTTTTGTTACAGCTTCTTGTTACTAGAAGACTCTTACAGGCGGTCCGAGCCTCCCGCCGTCTCCTCTGACGCCTTGTAGTCCACTTAATCCCTGTTAATGAGGCAAACAGAAAGCATAATTAACGTTTTTTCCCTCATATAGAAATGCACTGGATGCTATGTTGCATAAAATGAAATCATAAGTGTACCTGCAGACCCTCTGATCCAGGAGGTCCAGTGATCCCAGCAGGCCCAGACTCCCCCTGGAGAGACGGACGAAAACCTTTTAACATCATTCATTGGACACTTCTTTTAACACAACCGGTTAATAAGTTCAAGCAGGCGATGCACTGGATATAAAAAACATGTAATTAGATCCGTCCATCAGGTGATAACTGAGAACCTGTAAGGATGAAAACCTGCAGCAGTTGAACACAGAGATTTTACAACTAAAGAAAAAAAGATTCCTCCTGTTTTCACTTTACACAATCACGGAAAAGCAGCTGTTGATGTTTCTGTACTCTGCTGTTCAGCAACTGTCATTTCTTTTTCCACAGTAACAGAAACTGTGTTCTCTGAACTCAAACCCAAATTAAAAGACAAAGAAAAACAATCTAGCAAAGTGCAACCCTGAGACTAGGGATGTCCTGATTGAGTTTTTTGCCCCCAATACAATCTGAGTAACATGTAGTAGTCCCACTGCAGCATCTATAGTACCTTTCAGGCTGACTAATAAGCTAACCATATGTTATTTTATCTGCAGTAACTTAACTAATCAGATGACTTTCATGCTTGCACTAACAACACTCCTGCATGCACTACTGGATTTAGCCACCAAGCTAAAATCCCCCCATAATTCTCTGTAATGATCCGATCAATATGCAACAAAAAATAAAATCATTCTCCACAGGAAATGGTTGGACTTCTGCTGAAAATGAAAAACAAAATGCTGGGTTCACCATTTATTTCACAAAAGCAGCTCAGGTGTGAGAATAATTTAGTACAATCAGTCTGGATCACAGTGACGCATCAGAAGACAGAAATAATGAATGAAACCTCTGCTGCTGTGTCACCTGTGTGTGAACGGTGCACCTGGATCCTGATTAATAAAGTGCAAAAACACAGAAGGAAGATACGATTTCAAGATCTGTACAACTGGAGAAGCATTAAACCATAAAATTCACTATAAATACTGAAAAATCAAGATGTTGTGTTGTCTGTAAACTGTGACTGTGATCGCTGATGTTACCAAAACTACCATAAACATAATTCCATAGCGTCATGACAGCAGCTTGTTATTAAGAGATTTCTTTTTTCTTTACCTTTTCTCCCTGAGGTCCATCAGGTCCTGGAGGTCCCCGGGGGCCTGTGTTTCCCTGAAATAAGCAACAGACCAGACTGCACGTTAACATCAGCTTAAAGAAACAAGAAAAAACTAAATATATCCGTCACATATGGATCAGTGAATGTCAATCTGTTCAAATTTAAAGAGGACTCAACATGTGACCAAACTCACCTGTAGACCAGGCAGACCTGCAGGGCCCAGATCTCCCATCAGCCCCGGTTCACCCTGTTGGAGGAGATAAACAAGTTTAATCAAGCCCACTGATTGGTTCCATCCTGAATTTACGCTCATAAATCTCAGATTATTGAGCTTTTGGGGGGCAAATTACTGCATTAACTCTGCTCTTAATGGTTTAGTTTCTTCTCTCCTCATTTGATTAAAGGGGAACAGATGGTACCTGCTTGTACAGTGGGTTCATAAGTGCTCATCTTAAATACTTATTCCCTCTTAATGCTTTTATGTGGCTCCAGAGATAAATACATACTTTATTCATCCTCTTGGGGAAATTCAAGGCATCCGGTAACTCACACATGTTACATTTAACGAAAATGAGGAAACTACTGTGCAGAAGAACTTGCAAATCCTTCTTGGTAGAAAAAAAAGGTGCAAAACTGTGCTGGTATTTACAATTTAAAAAATAAATCAAAAAGGACACTAAAAAAAAAAAATTGCATGTTATTGACTTTGTGTTTTCTGCATTCTGTTTGCAGAGCTGCATGTTACTGGTGTCAACAACCTCCTGCTGTTTATTGCTCTCGTGTTTGTTGTCTCAATTTCAATTATTTTTTTTCAATTCACTGTGCTTTATTGACTTAAATATCAGGCTGTTAATGTTGCCACATATTTTAGAATAGAATTAGAATAAAACTTTATTAATTGCTACACCAAAAAACAACACAACACCAACATAAAATCAGCAACAAAACAACAGCATTCAAAATTCAAATCAAATCAAGGATTTTATTTTATTTTATTTTTTATTTTATTGTTTTATCAAGGATAATGTCATCAAAAAAAACATGGAAATTTTATAGTGAAAACAATACAATTAGGTGGAATAAAGAAAATGAACAAGAGGATAAAAAGAACGAGATAATGTGTAAATATGTATAATAGGCTAAGTCACTATAATTGTAACTGTTAGTGAGGTTTTAATTGTTTTTCACTCAGCTTGTGACATTCATTCACA